TCATTGTATATTTTAAGAATTTGTCTAGGTTTTAAAAATATATATTAGACGTTGTTATTTCAATCGATCAAAATTAAATTTTTTAAATTAAATGTAATTTTAGTTTAACTAAGGACATCAGTTATATTTTATTGACATTTTTAATATAATCATATCTTGAAATTTTGTTATTGTAATATGGTGAACCGTGCAGAACAAATGTGTAATGAGTTTTTTAAACTATTAAAAACTATTTATCGTGTCGAAAAATAATTAATTATTATTTTAAATGTAGTGCATTCAATATTAATATTTGTGATATATTTTTAACACGTGGGCATTTTATTGGCACTTAATTCATAAATTTACAATAACTCAGCTTAATACTGTTTAAAATAGTACATAAAATATATGAGTCCGCTGCATTTGTATCTTTAGAGTGCTAAATTTTGTCGTAGATTGTAAATGTTACATATTTTAGTATGCATTATTATTTTTATGATCGTATATTATATCTCGCCATGAAAAGAATTGTTGAATTTTTGTTGTATTATTTATATTTTGAAAGTGCCCAGAAACAAATGAATGTGGTATTTAAAATGTCCAAAAGTACTATAATTATAAAAATTACTCAAAATAAGATTTTTATTTTAAAATTAACACCTAATATATATGTTTTTAACAAGTTATGAGTTATGTTATTTATCCATTATAGTTATTTACTATTCATTATCAATGGTATAGATTAAATATACATATTTATATAATTATATTGCTATATAGTTAATATCATTAAATAAATCAAAAACTACTAATAAAACTAATATACCTACTAATAACTAATTAAGTATAAACCTTATATAGTTATTATTTATTAATTTATTAGCTATTTAATATTAATAATATTCTATCTAATTTTAGAACTTTGAAACAAATTAAATTGTTATTTTGTAGCAATAATTATATATTTTTTGAATTGTTCTTCAATTGTAAAAATATTAGATAGTAGAAAATAATATACTTAAATCTAAAAGTAACCGTTAATTATCGGTGTAGATCACAAGTTATATCTTAAGTACACTTGAGTAATTTAAGCATAAAATGGTATATTATGACGTGTTTTTAACTTTTACTTATTGGCCACGAGGTCGCATAGTTTAGGTCATAATATGCGTTTAGTATTATGATGATATATTAATATTTAATAATAATAATGGCTATTTTGAGTATAGAATATTTATGTACTATATTTATATTGATCTATAATATGCTTTTTATACCCAAATTTAAATATAAATATTTTGGTTTAATATATTTCTTTAAATTTTAATATTGAAGAATTCAATAATTTTTGTTTGAAAATAATCGGTTAATAATTAGTACTTCTAAATAGTTTTTTTTTTTTTTTTTGATAACGTAAAAATTAGACGGAGAAATGCATAGGGTAATAAATATGTCTAATAATTTAATTATTATTATTATAAATTGTGTTATTATTTTCAAACACCAATTTTATAAAATCATTCAAAAGTATACTTACCTAATGGTACTAATGGCTTATTAGTTAAGTACTTCTGTATAATCTTCCTTTTATTCAGAATTAATCTAATTAATTATAAAATTGTCATATATATTAGTACACACATTGTTAATTAAATCTGTAATCTGTGTTCAATTATTTTTGGAGATTTCCTATATAACAGTATAGCTTAATGAATTACGTCTAATAATAATCTATGGTTGTGTTATAAGTGAATTATTTTAATTACACTAATTTTGTTACGATGTACTTAATAAGTATAAATATGTTTAATTTTTTTATCTTTCAATAGTTTTATTATTGAAGTCATTCATTTATATAATCATTAAATTATTGTTTAATCAATTTAGAAAGAAGTTTAAAAGTTAACAGTTACGTCGATAAAAATACATTTCGTTTTGCATTAAAATTTGTAGGTATTTTTTTCCATATCTCAGCTAGGTAGTTATATATATATACATATATATGTTTAAAGTTTGTAACTTAATGTATCGTTATTATTTTATGCACGTTTTAGAGTTATTTTACTAAAAAATTTATAAGTTTTATTGATGAGTGCACTACATTTATTGTTGTATAACAGTATAACCGATTCATTTTGATATCAGTGACAGTCAAATTATTATTATTGTATATTGTCTATTTAATCTATTTGTATTTAAAATCATTTTGTATGCGAGTTTTTTTAAGCTCTAGGTATTTTTTGCGGATCAACTATTGAAGGGGACAAATTTTTGTATATTAACACGATTGATTGATATACATTCATACATTCGTTTTTATAGATTTATTCGTAAAATTGAATTTTCAATTATTTAACACTTGTCTTTATAATCGTTTATTTAGTCACAGTTTGCATTTGTTTTAAACTTAAAAAACTTTTAAACAAGAACTTATTACACAATCAACGTGAATCGTTCGATGATGATCATACACAATGCGGTAATAATATCTGCTATGTATAGGTTACATATTATATTATGTATTTGAAGTTCATCAATTTGTTCATTTATTATTTTATTAAGTACTCTTAAAATTATGGTTATATCTACAAAATTATCCTAAGTTAAATAATTTAAAACCAATCGATATTAAATAAGCTTATAACCGAGTTACAATATTAGTTTTGGCACAATTAAAAACAAACCTGTTTTTTAATTTGACGGAAATGTGATAGGAACAAAATTGTAGTTATATTTTTTTTTTTGTTAACGGAAACGAATATACATTGTATGCAATATATACAAAAACCAACAATGGGAAGTAAATATATAAAAATTTGTTGTCGCTGCCAATTTGTCATCATCCATTTCGTTAAAAACATATATGTACTCAGCGCGCGGTAAACGCTTGCATTATTACCGAAAAATCTATTCATCGGTAAAGGAAGGTATATATACATTTTATTGATGTTCTTCCATATACCGACGACCGCATAATATATGTATAACGTGTATTTATGTATATGTTATAGCGTGTTTTTTCGGAAAAATAACTTGTGCAAATAAGGAAAGGTATTCGTCTGTCGTCGTTCGTCCTGCGCGCTTGTAATGTACGGGATGTTGGTCGAAGAGGTAGTGTTGTGAGTGGGTTTGAATGACGGAGAGGAAGCCTTTACAACAATAACCACTTAGCTAGATGCGTTTATGCCAATAGCTGGTTTTTGTTTATTGAAAAGCTCCCGAGAAAAAAGGGGTCGAGAATACACATAAGCGCAATGTATATTGTTAACGGCTCGCGTGGTTTTGGGGCCTCGCACTAGAAAATAAAACCGTATGGAGAGAAAAAAAGAGTGAATGAAAGAGAAAGAGATGGATAGAGAGAGAGGTAGCGAAAGCACGCTCCGCGGTGACCGAAAATATTTATCGCTGAGCTCGTTTAATCACGATGCCGCTACAGCTCGAGGTTATCCAAATAATTGGTTTTCGGTTATGAAAACAACAGATGCGAGGAGAATAATATGTGATGGGACGTGATGTATCCCTGGGGACGCCGTGTAAATTCGCGCCATGGTGTTTGCCCTTTTCCGTCCGAGTTCGTCCGTTCACGTATACAATATACCACGCGCGCGTATTGAGAGAATTTAAAAGTAATTTATGTTGTTTTTATTTCCTACTTGTGAAATCCAATACGTTCGTCAAACAGTGTTCCGAGGAGAGTTGGCTATATATTATCACTGTTAGTATTGTGCGTAATATATGACATTCTTGTCGTCGTCGTGGTCGCGCATTTGATTATCGTCTGTGCCACGTTTTTGGTACTATTCGCCAAGTATCTTCTTAACACTGTTCCGTCGTTCGAAAAACCCGCAAGAATATCCTTACGTATTCTTTAAGAATATATATATATATATATATACACATAGGTACATATATATCGTAAGCTTGTTTGTTCTACGAGATATGGCATCCCTAAAGTACTACCCTGACTAACCTCTTCTTCCGACGAGTTTAAGCTCTAACAATTATTACGGTCGATTTGAGAGTATCAAACGACGAAGAGATGATTAGTAGGGATGACGTAAAATATGATAATGGCTTAGTTCCTGTGTACAAAACGCTTGTCGTACGGGATGCGAAGGATCCTACATATTGTTTTATAAGTCTTCTGTTACCCAGCTTCTTAAATTTAAAACGAGATTTCAACAACGTGTTTATTCGTCCACTTATCCTCCTGTACCGCTGTCTTGCACTGTACTCGGAAAAATAAAATAATTACGATTACGGCACAACGACAGAGCACATATTATTATGGTATAGTGAGAGAACCGCTGACGACGGTCGTCTCTTCCTTAATAAACCGAAATATTTTGCGGTATAAATACGAGTTCAAGAATATAATATATAAAGATATATCTTACGGTTGTATATGTATACTATATTATTACAGTAATGGGGCAACACCGCGATCATTCGCCCGTGCTTAATATAAATCATTTGGCAGCCATTATTCCTCGGTATCTTTCGGATTCGTGAATCGTAGACGTGCGATATACGCGCGCATTTATATATATATAGTATACTGGCATAATATATGTACCTAAGTATACAATGATAAATCATACACTTGCGTATCCGATACGATAAAATTGTATAACGTTGTTTTTCATGGTCTCTTTTTGGTTTCGACGGTCCCGAATGATCGTTTGTCGTTAATGCTTTTCGGTGACCAAATTTTTAATAATTTAGCGTGTGAACGTTCACGGTACTTAATAATGTAGTTAAACTATATTTAAAAATTGGCATTTCAGTAATGTGATTTTTTTTTTGTGGGAGGGTGTAAGGCGAAACACGAACTGATTTGACAATTTTGAAAATACTATGCTGATTGTTGTTTTTCCGACATGCTAAAGTGCATTGTCTACCGTATGAGTTTTTTTTCACCGCGATGACGAAAACTATTAATCATTCAATTCGTTTTATGAGAGAACTCGAATATAGCAATTTATAATAATTATTTTTATTTTTTGTGTTTGTTGCAGAAAGAAAACTGTTTATCGGTATGCTATCGAAAAAAATATCCGAACCAGACATCAGGTTGATGTTTGAACCTTTTGGAGCCATCGAAGAATGTTCGGTGCTCCGGGACCCGAATGGCGTTAGTAAAGGTAAACCATTTCGTTTGAAAAAAATATACCTCTTTACATATTTAAAAAAATATTTGTTAAACGTATATAATAATTATAATCGTGAAAATTTAGCAAAACTGTATATAACTACAGCTTGTTGTGTGACGTTTACATTATATTTTTAATTTATAAAAACACGTGTTGTATGTTTGACACTTTTAACTTATTATAATTATTGGTATAGTGTACACACATATTTTACTACTTTGATAGTAGTTAACAGCTATTGAAATTTATTTATTTATTTTCTTTTTTTTTTTTTTTGCTATACATCTTTGTTTTCTATTTCAGTTTTCAGCGCGCAGGATAATATGACTTTTTTCACTTTATGAATATCTATTAGTCTCGCGTGGATGATAATAATATTATATAACCATTGTGTAGTAAAATGCCCATGAGATATAGTTGGATTGGTGTTTGCATAATGTAGAGTGATTTTCATTTTTTTTTTATCATAACATCGTGTAATAACTAATGTAAGTGCGTATGACTAAGTTGTCGTGTTGAAAACGATGTTTGTATGCGTTGTAATAAAATGAATTAATATCTTTTAAGATTACGCCAAGGACAGATTTTTGGCTTCCAAGGCACTATATTTATAAGATTTCCTCCAATGCACTTATTCTTTTAAGTGCTCCGCCGTAGTTGTTAGCTAACAGTGTTATAAAAATATTATTTTATTCAGTCATTTAAAAGGTTGCAACTGCTGTAAATATTTCATATTATACCATTATTGATATAGTATAATTTATTATACTAGACATGTTATACTTACTTTATAATAAAATACACAATATCATATTTTACGTACTTAATGCCATTTTGAATAGATTCAATATTTTTGTTTATTCTTATTTTTTTTTTTAAATTTAATACTTAAAGTTTTAAATAATTCGGTGTTTGCTTTAAATTTTTATTTTAGATTTAAAATGGGGTGATAATTTTATTGAATTTCCAATGACGGTGACTTTTTTGTTTGATTTCAGTTTCTTATAAAATTAATGTATAAAAAGTTTCAATATAGATAAGGGAATTGAACCCATATGCTACCACTAGTATAAGGTTATTTTGGAAATTTTCTTCTAGTTTTTTTTTTTTTTTAGAAAATGGTAAAAACTATTGAAAACCAAATCCTCGCTACAGAAAATCCAGTGGGAGATTCCCGTTAAATTCCTACAAAAGAACTAAACTTTTTGCATTATTTACAACTTTTAAAACACCATAGACAGTTGCAATTTTCATCGATTTTTATTCTAGCATCTTATAATAGTAGTTAGTACACATATAGGCTGTAACATATTATTTTTAAAAATAATTTCGAAATCTTAACAATTTACTCGTAGTTACTTATATTATCATGTTAAAATTAGTCAAAAAAATTAATGTTATTTATCCATAGATGTAGATAGCCTTATAGGCTAGGAATGTCTTATTATAATTAAATAAAAAAAAAAAAAAAATTAATCTAGAGGTTATTTTAGATATAGGTAAAATTGAGACATCGAGTTCTTTCTTTTATCTATATTGTTAAAATAACTGCGCAGAATCAAACATTTAATTTAAACAATTTAGACAATTAAAAAAATTGTCTATAAAAAATGAAGAGAAAAATTAAATATACTATTTATTATCGCTTATAATGTAGAGGCTCTATACTAGCGCCAAATAACCTATATTTATCAGTATTTTCTTTTTTTCTTTTTTAATTCTGTATAAATAGATAGATATGAACTAAAAAAAAAAAAAAAAACAATTAAATAAGATTGAAATGATTTAAACGAATATTTAATTATTAAATTGTATATTTTATAATAAATAATAACTTTAATTTTCAATCTAACTAGTTAGTATTACATAATATAGTAAATTATTATGCTTTCGTAGCGTTCTGGTAATTTTATCGAAAATTAATATTTTTCCTTAAAACTTGAAATTTTGGTTTTATTCAACTTGTAGACCATGAATATTACGTTAGTCCAGAATAAACTATTCGGTATTCAGTTTTCAGGTTTTCTTGCGAAAAAAACTTTTAAAAATTGTATTTTTTCAAATGTTTCCATGTGGATTTATAGTTCAAAAGCTGTCTGTGTTTGTTAATACAACGAGGTACCTATATAATATTTTGCTAGAAATAATTAATCTTTTCAAAAAAAAAAAAACTTGCAATATTTTTTCGATTTATTTTATGTGTGTACTGAGTATTTCTATAAATTATGTTATGTTTGAAGTTAAAAATGAAATAAATTTATAAAAATATTTTTTTTTTCATTGCGATCGAGAATTATATGTACTTATAATTTATTGTTAATTTCGAATCGACTAATATAATTTTATGCATATTATAAATATATTAAAAACAATTTCCTTCAACGTCATATTATTTAAAATAATTTAATGTGTCTCGTTTACTGTAAGCATTTAGGTAGGCACCGTATGTATAACACGGTTAGCCTGTCGCGGTATATTATGTTGACGAATGAATTTTTATATATTACTGACCGACACTTAACTCCAATGTTTGCAGGTTGTGCATTTGTCACGTACACGACCAAACAGAACGCTATAGCGGCCATCAAGGGTATGCATCACTCACAGACTATGGAAGGCTGTACGTGTCCGCTTGTAGTCAAGTTCGCTGATACCCAAAAGGAAAAAGACCAGAAACGCATGCAGCAGATGCAAGCGAACCTATGGGGTTTGGCGGCGACCGGAGGCAACAGCGTACCCACTGCTCAGTACTTGGCGCTAGGTGTGCTAGCCAATCAACAGATGAACGTAATTATTATTTGATACGATTATTCACGACCGTTTTTCTTTCACAAAACTTACTGTCCGCTGGTGAACTTAAGGGTGAGAATGGAGTTTAAGTCGAACTCCGTTTTGTTTTTTACCTATCGCTGTTAAATTTCTGTCGTCATATACGCTCTCTACTGTCGTGCAAACGTCTATACTATGAGTTTCAGTGACTGTTAACTATTTATTTTTTACACTTAGCCGAAGGCCTTTCGCTCTATATTAATGTCATATTTTTGGAGATTTGATTAGATCTATGCTGAAATTACTTTTTAAAATATGACATAAAATTGTATTTCCAATGTTGCACTTTATACGGTATTACTTGACATTGCGTCGTGGTTATTATACGCCCCGCGTGGTGTTCAAACTTGATATTAATATTAATATACAAAATCATGAGATTCCTCTCAGACATTTTGACTAAATATCCATCTATAATCACGGTAATTTAAAAAGTTATTCGTGCCACTCTCGCGGCGGTGTTCACTAAGTTGACGTTTCGTGACAAATTACCAATTTCTATCCCGTGCATTTACAGAATTATAATAATTTAACGCTATACTTAATATTGATTAGAAGTGCACTAAAACGGTTTGCGAATAGTAACTCATTTAACACGTTCCTAATATTAATAATAATAATACATGTTTATTGTGTACGAACGCAGCAAATATCGTTATATCGTGTAGAAATCTCGTTACTTTATATATACTAATATATGATGCACTTTGCCTACGTTGATTGCAAAATCCGCTCACAGCACGGCGTTCGACCAAATCCTCCTCACCGTGTACCTAATCATTTTCTAATTAAACTTATAAACTGTTCTGCAGCATGCCGTGTTTATGCGCGTTTTATGAAGTTAGTATTGAAACTAACCCCTTGCAGAATGCTCCCGTGGGTGTAAATGGCAATGTAATAAACTTGGTGATTCAGAGCTACTCCGCGGAAACTTTGACCGTAAAAGTATTTTGCATGTTCGGTTAATTCACCAAAATAATTTTATCCGTTTTATAAACACTTCCGGATTGTCATGTTTACCAAAGAGTTTGTCGTTATACGACTAAGCAAAAACCATCGGCCCATGTATATTATTTACTTTGTATATAATTCATAACGTTAACAATAAAAAGAAAAATCTTTAAACATTATTCGGTAGACGATGAAATCAGAACTTCCTTACTTCTCAACGTTGAATTTCAAATTTGTGTGAAAAGTTAACTTGTTTGATAATCTCTACGCCATAATATAAGATACATTAACATAAAACATAGTAATTTATTTTGAAGTACTTAATAATATACAAGTTGTATCTAATACCATGTATGATATGTATTCTATATATTTTTAATATACAACTTACTATTTTGAAATAGGTTATAGTTCATTGCAAACAGCTACATATATTTTTAAATTAGAAACCCATTAAGTATATTATTATAGGTATGTAACTCGAGGACCACCGGGGGTTATGGATGTCGGTAATTCATGAAATTCGTAATTTAGAGAAAACCTATAGGCGACATAAAGTCCGTTGCAAGGTGTTTTCACGACGTTAATCGTTTAACATATTTCTGTCTCCGGAAAAAAAAACGATTTGATTAATATTTTTTATATATTCTATACTATACTATATTATTATACAAATATATATTGCGTTTACTTTAGTAACTTGAATTTTATTGATTTTATCACTGACGCGTTTTCATCTAAATTACCTTTTAACGCTCTTCTCCCTTTCCGATTTTCAGCTAAATCAGTCCAGTCCGAAGACGACCGACAATTAATGTGCGAATCCTACAACACTTAGTTAAACCAGTCATAATAACGTGTTTAATATCGTTCTATCATTAATCTAAATATGAAAGTATTGTGTCGCTTATTAATATTGTCATCTTCTGACGTAAATACATCATTCACGCGTAAGCACAATTGTATTAATTATTAACTTTGTAATGCTAGACAAATTTTAATCAAAACTAAATTGTGGGATCTTACTTAACCTCCTATTGGCTTACTCAACGTTATATACACCTACTCTATTGTTTTGTTATTGAAATTAAAATAAAATAACATAACACCTTCTATGTTATAGACAACACGCATAGCAGATCTAAATAACATTAATATACGTATTTAAAATTGCATTATTATTTAAACGATATGTGGAGATAATATATGCTTTTATCGTTATTAACAAATGGAAAATCGTCATTTTTATGTGTTTTTGATTTTTAACCGACATTTTTTTGTATTAACAATTATGAGAAATAAAAAAAAGATTTCTAAAATCAGTATATTATATGAGTGATGTAGGACGCTTTTGGTGACATGGCCTTGTTGTTCCTGGGAGGGCGGACGGGCATGCTCTATTCACAATTCCTAATTACCTCTTAGCGTACTGCAATAGTGGAAGTTTCGCCGATAGTGACGAATACTGTAAAATTTGGATGCTTAACGATTCTTTTTTTTGATTTTGTAGAGTGACACGAATTCGCTGTCGTCACAAGTGCTCCAGCAGATCCAATTGAATGCTGCCGCTGCTGCCGTGGCAGCCAATAACAACAATAACCATCAGTTGAACAATCTGCTTTTGACCAACAACACAGGTGCGTTTTCTTTGTGTAATTTTCCATGTGCGTAAACGTCACGATAAAGCCGACGAATTACCGGTGTATTGTGACGCGTACAAGTGTAGGTATTATATATTACTAATCATGATATGTATAGGTTACGCGTTCCTTCGAATAACTCAGTTATTAGTGGAAAGAATCGAGATCCGTATATAATATTTTGTAGTCCTGATTTTTACGAGGCTTTTTACCGTTCTATTTAAAGGGTTTTTTAAATTTTATTAGTACGTTCCAATTTTCGTTTCCAGTACGTACTTATTGTTCTTTCTTATCAGCCGGGACACAAACAACGATTGAACATTTGAGCGTATGTAAATACAAATATGTGATATTTTGTCAGCGTGTTCGCGCATACAAATTTAAAACATAACTCGGACTGTACTTCGTATATATCGTCGGCGATCTCATTAAACACACCCAAAGTACATAATTTAAAACATTTATTGTCGTTTTGTTACTGGCAGTCAATGTCGTTTCGATAATACTTAAATGGCAATCATCGTCCTGTAGCCGTCAAACTACAATTAATATAACGACAGCTAAGTATTATGCTCTTGAGCGTTTAAAATATATACATTTTTCGAAATGTCTCGTTAATTTTAAACGATGATGGTTTTGTTGTATACATATCCGTTACATGAGTGTGTTTTATGAGGTCATCGAAATATGTCAATATTTTAAAATAATATAATGTATATAATATTTCACTGAATTTTTTTTTCAACGTTTTATTCAAAACGCTACTTAATACTGTGTACCTATCTGTAATGTTTTTCGTCCCCGCGATGATTGTTTTTTTTTTTTTTTTTTTAATTTTAAAAAACCATTTTACGAATTGAATGTTACTTATACTTATTCATTATCATTATAATATCATACTATACGTTTATTGTTACTCAATAAACGGTTTGTGGTGGTTTTATACGATTCGTCTATTTTATATTTAGAATAATAGTGCTACTGTGCAGCGGGTGGTTTTTTTAGTTATAAAATATCATTAATTTCATGTGACCCAATATTCAGGTGCGCTCAAATCCCCGTATCATGTCCAGACGTCCCATTACCATCCCACACATGTAGATACTGTTTCACCTCGGCGTTTAGATTACACCGATCCTTTCTATACAGGCTACCAGAATTTGTCTGCGTCACCGCCGAGTCTAGGAGACCTGAACCCCGGAAACTTACAGAACTTGTCAACACTTGCCAATTTATCCGTTGGAAACCCTAGTAAGTTGTTCTACAAATAATCAAATAATTTTATTATTATCGTGTAATGTTTTTATATTGTTATCGTGTGAAATGTTGTGTATCTGCCGTTATTATAACATAAGTGCATCATATCATCCGTGTCGTGATAAAATAATAACAATAAAAACAACTGTTATTGTAGTTATATAATTACTGTTCTACGATTCAATTAAATATTATAAATGCTGTTTTCAGCCTTTGGCCACGAAATGAGAATTCATTTACGTTAATGATTGTTATTTCAATATTCCTTGTTAATTACCAACATTACAGTTTCTACTTAGATGTCAAGTAAATTAATTATTGTTAAATTAAGATAGAATACGACATGTTTATGTCCTACATATTTCGTATTACATTTTACTTAATTTAATATTTCCAAGTGATTTTATTACCACGATCCAGTTAATAAAATTCCATTTATTATCGATGGATTGATGTTGTTTAGCGAAACTGTATATATTTATATTTATATTATATTATATGCAGTTGAAATCATTTTGATTCAGTACATTACGGTTAAAATTGAAATATTTTATTAACATTATTATATTATTCATAACATAACTTGTGATGAATTTTGAATTTAAATAAAAAATTATAGTTATTTGAGTAAACTAAAAATGGAATACTGAGATGAATGATATGCTTAGTATAGTTAGTATAAGTATCAAACTACTTAAATAAATGCACATAAAGTAAAATAAATTATTTATAATTTTTACAAAATAATTTTAATTTTATTTGTGTGCAAATGAGAAGTTTAAATTTATTTTAATTTTTGATGATATAGTATTAAAACTTTGTACCTATTATTTTATATACATATATATAAATATTTCATTTCCCTTGTTTACCTGCGAGGCAACACTTAGTTAGAACTCTATTTTTCTTCCTTTTCTCCCATAGTAAACTTTTTTTTTAAACGAGCCGATTTAAACATTTCACATTTTTCATTCGACCGACCAGTGCGGTGTTTCTTTTAAATGCATATCGCAGCCGTGATGCGCTTCTAATAATAATATACGCCCGAATTCCAAGTACAGCTACCATGTGACGACCGTACAGCTAATGTAATAATATGTGCCGATTGTATTTAAGCCGTTGTCCTTACTATTTTTGAATAAGAGCCAATAACAAAAAGTTAAAAAACGGTTGTTTTTATTCATCAGCTTCTTATGGCGTTGACGCTTATATTTGTAACATAATTTAAAATGTAAACATAAACCTAGTATTAAAGAACTAGTCAACAATCGAAGATACAGACTTTTGGTTCGATAAAAAGCTCTGTTGGCATAGTTAAACTAATACAAAATACCTTAAGATAAATAAAATAATAACTATTTAAAATGGAGGGATAAATTTGGGGAGTGGAAGATATTAAACAGCTTAAAACAGTTATTGCCCCATGCAAAATTAAAATTATTTAATAGAAACATAAGAATAAGACAAACTATTAATTGTAAATGCAGTGAAACACAATAAAAAAATCTTCTATTTTAATGTCTTCTAATGGTAAAGGAGGAGTGACCTTGTGATAAAATGGATTTCTACCTGACAAACAACAGAGCGGTAGCAGTCATTGCTTTTTAGATGATGTAAATCTAAACTACACAATTACGTATATAAGTTATATATACATATAATAACCTACTACCATACCACCCAGATTAAGTTATCGTTCATCTCGAGTGAGAATTTGATGGTGACAGTGCTCATGTTTGTCGCATGGTCTAGCGAAACGATTATTTTGTTGAATATATGATTAGGTATATCTATAGTTTTTATCATATAAACCCCCCTAGTAATTTTGTAGTAACGTATAACCACGATCGCAAAAATCGTTTATACGTATTATTATTTTTATAGTGAGATCTACGACTGAATTTAACCAACAAAAAAACTAGAAAATATTTTTTTGAAAATTTTGCAAAATGCATTTACGTACTTTGATGTATATAATATTCATGAAACAACAATATATCATTTAAAAAATATATCAATACCTTGCCGCCCAATAATAGTAATTAGATTAGTGTTTTTTTAGTAAACTAAAATAAATCAATTTAATAGTATTTTCCATGATAGTCCGTATGCACGATTTAACTAGATACCAAACACCATTGATTATAGTATATAGCAGTGGTTTTCATCCGGTGTGTCGCGGCACACTGGTGTGCCGAGAGCGCCTTTGAAGTGTGCCGCGATAAATCTATTGATGGAGTTAATTTTGTATATATACATATATATATATATATATGTATTATATATAAAAATATATGCTTCACGTATTATACGGATTATTGGTGTGCCGCAAAAATTTTGTAGAAGAAGAAGTGTGCTACATTGTTAAAAAGGTTGAAAATCACTGGTATATAGTATAGTCAATTTTTCTATTGGTTCTCAACCTTTTATGCTTACAGCGCATTTCTTATAATTATACAGTTTGACGGAATACTATAGTAGTAATGAAATAATAAGAAGTAAAGAAAAAAAGGCATTTTTATTTTAGCTATTGTTATTTTTTTTATTATTAATATTAATATATAATTAAAAATTAATAATCAATAATACTATACGCATATACCACGGTCGCGGAACACTGGTTGAGAAACACTGATCTACTCTATAATCAATGCTAACACGATATATTAGTAAAACGGCTTTCGAATTTATTTACGAAAGGACTATATAAAATAGAAGTAAAAAATAACTATTAGCAAACCATATCAAAATGTATAACTAATTTTTTACTATTTTATACCTTTTATGTATTCATAATCATGTGTTTGAACAGTTGTTCATTATAAATGTTATAATGTAATATGCTAGGTGCACTATACTTTTTTTTTTCTCGCCGTTTTATATTATTTTACCAGAAACCAACGTATTAATCAGTATAGTATCTTAAATTGTATTAGTAAGACTGAGATAAGTAACACATGCCAAGCATCATATTCTCTAAAAGAAGAAATGGCCTTTATCATTTACTTGATACAATTAATAAGTAAAATAAATAGAAAAATCGATTTTATCCCATATTTCCCAACTGCAACAGTATAAATAATTTACGTTGGTTAACGCAAAAATGTTTAATCATGCGATTGAAATGATTTATTTAATTATCGGTACATGAAAATTAAGAAAATAGAAAAAAAGAGTTATTTGCACTAAGTTTAACAATGGAAAATACATTCTTGTATTTAAAAAACGCAAATAACGTCTTGTATTATCTTAGAATTTTAGATAGATAAAATTATCTATCTGAAATCATCTTAATTCTGAGTGGAATCCATCGATATGTAAAATTTTTAAATTCACTGTCTCGGTATGTGCTGTTTTTTTAAATGTCTCCGGTAATATCCGGAGACGCTCCGTCATAACTATGGGAGCAACAAAATTATAATACAAACGATAATAATCATAATAATAATACTTGAACCGGAAGTTATTTTCCTTGTATAGCGCGTGGCCGATTGGCAGTCTCTTTGTGTCATCGCCATTGACTGAATTATATTATTTAAATATGATATAAGCAGCGCCCTTTTTTTGCCCCTTGGCTTCCGTTTATTTAATTATTATTCATGATCGGTAGCAAATAACAGACACGCTTGTTATCACTTGGCATGTGTTTTTCATAAAACAGCGTTCTCATGTTTTAATATAATGTTATATTGAAATGTTTGTTATTGTTTAAATATTATAATTTTATTTTTTTATTTTCTAGTAGTCAACTCTGTGAACATGCAGAATCTAGTCACATTAGCCGCGATGGGAGCAAATTCCGTCTCGCCTACAGGTAAATCGCCTTTCGTAATGATCTTATATAATTTTTTTTGGGCTTTCTCGATCACATGATCTCTTTACAATTTAATTTGATGACTTGTGGAAGAGCAACTTGGACACAATCCGATTGACCAGTATTTATCGGTTTTATTATTATTAGATTTTTAATCGGTAATATTGAGTTTTATTTATTTTAGGCGTTGGATATATAACAAACTTCAAAGATATTATTCATACTACTTATTTCAAATTAAGAAAGTGGTCGATGAAACATTTCAAATTCAATTTTGCTATTATTATTAACCATTAATTGATATAAAAAAATAAAGTATTTTAAAAATTTTTAATGGGTTTTATAAGCTATTTTGTTATTTGTTTACTAGATATTTAATTTTACAAAGAAATAAATATTCCGTGTATAAAAAATAAATATATATTGAGCTATACCATTCGATATTTTTTTTTGAAGTATCAAGTCAAAAATTATGTTAAAATGAAAAAAAAGACAAATATCAGTAAGATTTGCTAACTTGGCTAAACGTTGATCAGAAAAACAAATGATTTATGTATAGTTAAATTTTAACTAAATCGGTCATTGCGTAAAATTACATGTAGTACCTTGTGGTGGACAAAAATTAGTTACAATAGATGTGTCGATTTGAAATAATACTCCGTTTAATTTACTATATAAATGCACTTTCGCATTGATGATTTTCCTCAAAAGTTTGAATGTCGTCAGCAAGTTTATGCTAGTACAAAGTTATGGAAGGAAAATGGAATAATAACTTGTGCAGAATATGCGTAAAATGTTTAAAAATGTGCCATCGCCTTTAATATTTTATTACAGTGTTACTGAGGAACCCATCACTATTTTAGTTTTAAAAAATAATTATCACAGTCCTTATGCATCTCAAATTTTATTGAAACTGTTTATTTATGACGTATAATATATTACAAAAATTATACTGGCATCTTAAAAATGTTAACTTTAACTGGTCGAGAAAGCTATGTAATTATAATGAAGTATATTATATTATATGATTATTATACATGCAAATTATTTTAAAATAGCAAATCTCCAAAAGACAATAATTAAATCAAATCATGTTTATTATTTTAGGGTCCAGTTCATCTAGTCTAAGTAGTTCAGGTTGGTTTATTTTATCGGATTTTGTGTTGAGTCAATTATTTTTTTTCTAATTGAAATTATTTTCGGCCATTTTGTTTTATGTGTTTGTTTTTGTTTTATATTCTGATTACTTCTAAGTTAATTTTGCTTAATGTAATGCAATTGCATGAATTTCTTTTTATTTGGTGTAACAATAATTAATACGTTTTTGTCTTAAATATTCGATTATTATTATTTTTTAGATTAAATAATATTTTTATGGCCGTCCAATTGTTATCTTTTGGCCCATACATTAAACTCAATATAATTATTAAATCGATGAATATCATTACTTTTATTTTTTTCATTTGCATTAGATTACATTTAGAAAACGATTAATATTCATACTTTAATTATTTATCTAATAATATCTGTTAATCACTTGAATTTCAAATCATTGTATAATTTAACATATACATGGTGGCAGATAGTTTTATTGTTTTGCAACATTTTAAATGTACCATAAAATAAGATATATAGCATATTGAAATTTTAATAAATTGAAGTATCTAAAAAAAAAAAATTAGCTTTTGACAAATTTATGTAAATTAGTTAACATAGCTTAACACTTATATTTTATTTTAAATGAATCAAAACTTTTCAAATAGTTTCGTTAAATGTTCAGTTTATCCCAAATAATATTAATGGTTAAATTATAAATTAAATATAATTTATTTTACATCCTTTTTAATAACCATAGAATATTATTTTCTTTTTCGTATATATTACTTAAATACATCTAAAAATAATGAATATATTCAATTAATTAGTTTATACTAGGATTTATAATTCTTATCAGGCCAAGAAAATGCATGCTCCTTTTTTTTTTTCTTAACTTAATAGTGGTGTTATCATTATTTAGTGTGAGTAAAATAGTACTATATTTTATATAGAATAATCAAAATAATTTACGTCTGTTGAAGATATTCATTTGTATCGCTCATTAATTTTAAAGATCGGGGAATATCATGTATAGAAAGTATTAATTACATATTTCAAATATTATACCTGTGAACCAAATAATATTATCCTATAATATTATGATGTATTATGTTATAATATTAGAAATGTATTTTATCAATAGTTTGTATTTGTAACATATTTTACGTAAATGTTTGAAATTCATTTACGACTTTTAATGTTTTTGTTTTGTTTTTGGAAAATATTTAACTGGGATAAATATTTGATTATAATATTTTAAAGCGTGCTTACAATTGCATAAAAAAAAAAAAAAAAAAAAAAAAATGTATATTTTATATAATTATAAATATTTTTGTTATGTGTTTGAAACTTTAGCACGTAACCTATATAAGTATATAGTTTTGCATATTAACGCTTTGTTACATAATAACATATAATTTTGAAATGCATTTTTAAAATAAAGTTTTTGTGTTTTAGCTCTGTCAAGTTTGTCGCCGACGTCTGCAGCCGCTGCAGGTTTGTAAAATTTATTATTTTTGTATTTTGTTTCCCATGTTCGGTTATTATTATTATTTTGAATTTTAATACTCCTCGAGTTTCTTTTTGTTTTTTTTTTTTTATTGTTTTGTTGTATGTTTGTTTTTTTCTTATTTGACTCCATACTTTTCTTTTCTAGTTTTATTTGGGAAAAATTCTGGTAAGTGGTTTTGGAATATGTGTGCGTGTGTGTGTGTACGCGTGATCGTATTTATAATCAAATTATTGTTGTTTTTCCTTTTCCTTTATAACTCTATATATAATATATAATATTTGTGATAATGTATTATACTTGAAAGTGAGATAATAATATATGTATAACCGTATCTTGTGTGTGTCTGCCTATAAAAGTGTACGATAATATTGTTGTCTCCGCGTGTCAATTTTTTTTTCACAGTATCATACATAACTTCATTACAACAAATATAAATCTGATAATTTTATTTTAGAGTGAATTCATTAACATACAACAAGAAACGTAAATCGCAAGTGTCATCTTTTCAGTTTTGTTGTGTTTATTTTTTGTAGGTCTTTTAGCAGGCACCAACGGCACGAATGGCGGAACATACGGTTCGTCGCTGAACGCACTTGGTCTCACGCTGGCCGACCTTAACTCTAACCAGTTTGCCATGCCGCAGTCACCACCGGCCAGTTCGCCGCTATACTTTTTGAACAACAATAATAATAACAACAACAGTCGTGAGTATTGAAATTATTAGAACAACCTTTACGAAAACAAAAAACAAAATTTAATACGCCCCTACAATCGTTTAACCCTCTCCCTCCATTCCGTTTAACGATAATTCGAAGAACTTAGGAGAGAAGTTATAAAATAAAAACTGTCCGCCGTATTTCGTCTGAAAAAGAAATCAAATAACACAACAATAGGGTATCGCGTTGAGGAAGCATTTTTTTCTTTTTTTTTTTTTGTAAACGTGACAACTAGAAGTAATGCGTTTATATTTCACTAGCTGCGTTCAAAAACATCGAATTTATGATGGCAGGGTTCTTATTCTTCTCAAAAAGCGAACAATTATTTTATTATCTGATGTTTTGAACGAGTTTTTATAAACTTTTTTATTATTAATAAATTATTGACTTGCTCGAGTATCGCGGCTATGCCTATTGTTCGTACAATAGACAACAGAACAGTGTAATATCGATGAAGTGTTGAACACAACGTGAAAAAAATCAATTCCCAATGTCCGATATTACAAAAACAGACATTTATTTGTTTGGGGTACATGCTTTCGTTAAAGAACTTCCATTTTACTTTTAAGAGATTTAAATATATAAAAATTCATATTTGTTTACGGCCTTCTACATATGATAAATATTATTTATAAATAGAATTCTGATTGTCTGAAAAATGAGTAAAAATAAAAATTTATTTAGAGAGTACTACGATATTAAAAGAAACTGACTCTTTTAGTAACTTTGTTTCGTATTGTTTCATGACAATGTTTCCTTTATATTTTTGTACACGCGCTAATATGCCTTAAACATAGTTTTATTGATCGTTTATACTAAATTACGAAATATTATAGTTACGTGATTACGACACAATCGTGGAAAAAATTCAACTGCTCAAAAATTGATATTCAAGTACGCATTCATGTTTCCCGATTACGTAAAAAGTGTTATTTGCGTTTGGTTTGTTGTGCCTTGTGGTATACATGACTATAGTCATTATTTTTTATCAACCCCCTGAAATATAACTGTTCAGATACGCTCGTGATACCAAATTATCGATATTTCCATTCAATAAAGATTAAAGATATTACCTATTTAATATATATTTTATACAGGCGTAAATGTTAAACAATTAAAACAATTTAACTGTACAATATCTATGATAAAACTTTTATTAACATTTAATATTAAACATATATATATTGTTCATAATACTCTTAGAAACATAACATTTATTTAGTATTCTTTGGAGCGTTTTGAATTATGACACTATAAAGTGCAAGATTTAACTAAGGAATATTAAACTATAAATTATTTGGTTCATGGTTAAAGTACTTAACTTGATTAATATATCTCCAAGTATTTTCATAAAGTAAATTTTCCAAATATAACATATTAATCTTCAACAGATAGAATTCTAATTGAACGTCTTAATTTATTGAATTCATTTTAATTTGATATTACATCAAGATTTATGTAAAAAATTAAAAATTGTGATTGAAATTTTTTTTATAAGGACATCTTTGATTTAGAGAATTGTTTCCCCGAAAACATTTTATTATATTTTTTTACATGTTCACAAAATATTAAATATTTTAATGTTATAAAATGTTGATAATAATATTACATTATAAATTAAACGATATTACGATTGATAAATAATAATCATAATAGTTAATATGTTCGTGTTAACGGTTCACAGTTGAAAATAATTTCATAGCGCATGTATTCGAAATTTTAAAATGAATAATATATTTGTATTTGTAATTTCTATTTGACAAATAATAATTACGAAATTCATTTCAGCTAACCGTAATCCATCTAAATGATAATTATATTACTAGGCAATAAAATTAAATATTATTTGAAAAAAAAAATGTATTAATTTAACATAAGTTATAAACGTGTTCTACATACCTAAAAATAAATAATCACATTTTTTCATTTAAAATAATTATTTTGTAAGTAAATTAATTAATATTTTTTATTTTTTTGTAAAAACAAAGTTTAAATAATGTCAGAAAAATTATATATTTAAAAAAAGAAAAATGTATTTAAATAATTAAACAAATCGCCATCAAGAAAAGCGCTTCAGTGAATTCAGTTTTCTCTGTCTCGCATATTTTTAGAATAATTAGTTTAATGTCCACGAATTATCAATAAATAAAATAATTATATTATATCCAGTCGTGTTTATCTTTTAAATGGGTTAAACTAGATTCGTAAAAACCTTCAATGTATATTAGACATCAGTTACATTCGTTGTGCCAAATAATTGATATCGTTGTATTCATGATGGCAGTTTTTCGTTTAGATGTTTGAGAAGAATAGAATTTTAAAACGATACATTTAGATTCACTAAAATACTTTTTTATTTTATCACTATCAATTTATTTAAATTGGTCATGTGATAATTACACTCAAAACTAGTCGTAATGGTTTTAACGAAAAATTAAAATAATACTTAAACTTAAAGGCTTGTGCTTTCTAAGCGTGTCACGTTTACAAAACAAAACTTCATATAGTAAAATGGTTAGTAATAAGTATTCGCTTAAAAAGAAAAATAATTCAATACATTAAATAAAACCAGAAGCACCAGTAAGCTCCACGAAAATTATTTTCGAAGTTTTAATGTATATACCTTTACATAAATATAGTATAAATTCTTAAGTTTTGTTTCACTAGCTTTTTGATTTGTCTTGTACATTCATTATGCATGTTTTTAAAGTATATAGGCATATTCTGACATTGGTTGTCAGTCATTCAGTTATATCACTGGTAAATAATAAACGTCACGCTCTCCCACGCCGCCCATGCATACTTTATTCATACCTATTAGATATTTGGCTGCTAAATTTTCGCTTTGCTTTATTTATTTATTAATTATATTTTAACGAACTTTTGTGATCGTCTTGACTTAAACCGGCTTCATTTTAAAATTGATAATGCGCTTTTTTTAAAAAAAAAAAAAAAAAAAAAATTATTTATATTATCACGTTCACATTTAGACAGGCTGATTATTTCCCTTGCATTATTATTTTTAAATAAACATATTGTTATGCTATTATACTGTTGTGTTTGTTGTATCGTTTGTTATGTACTATGTTGTTGCGTAATTATTTTGTTTAGCGACAAAAGTGTCCAGCAAGCAGCTTGAAGGTCCGGAAGGTGCCAATCTGTTTATATACCATCTCCCCCAGGATTTCGCTGATTCTGATCTCGTGACCATGTTTTTACCATTTGGTAACGTTATATCGGCAAAGGTTTACATTGATAAAGAGACCAAACTGTCCAAGTGTTTCGGTAAGTTGCGCAGGTGCGCATTATACACGCAAAAAACGGTGAAAAATTACGCGTTAAATTTTACTTATCTATCTCTCATTTTCACATATTAATTTTTTTTTAATTTTAATTATTGAAAGCGTAGACATGCAGTTTTTTTCTATAACGATACAATATAATTTTGTATTTGTGACTTAGAAATTATCACATGAATAAATCACATTTATTGAAATATTGATGATTTTTCCGACTCTTCGTGCGTGCGCGAGGTTCGTTACCGATAACTTTAATGGGAAACATTTTTAACTCTAATAACCAGCCAATATATATGGTTCTTAATTATATTCTTTAAACTATTTATTAATATTTTTGGTTGGTGGGGGAAACGGGAACGGGTAATGTACTGATTTTAAACCACGTTTCCTATTCACTACAAGCGCACATGTATTGCTGCCCTAGTTAAAATATTTACCATATTATGTTTTTTATGTTGTAATGTATTGTCCTGCTTTTGCCTGTAGTGCAGTTTTATCTAATCATAATAAGTAATAACAGTTTTATGCTGTATACTATACTAATAGATATTATGCCTTAAAACTACTAGCAACTGTATCTATACTATTTTAGTATATTTTTACAAACAATATTCAAATATTAAGAAGACGCAACAACTAAAAATTAAACTTTTTTTTTTAATTTTTTTTTTTTTTTTTTTTTGTCTCACTAGCTTAGGGACCATGATAAATTAAAATTAACTGCATGTAATTGATTAAAACGTATTTAAATTTTAAATTATGTGGATATAATAAATAACCATTTAACTACTTATTTTTTAAATCCAAAGAAAACTTTCGTTTTGAGTCTTGTGTTCAGTCCATGGATTTTCTGGAGTATAAAATTATTTGCACACGAGCAAGGCAAAGAAGACAAAAACATAAGTGATTGCGTCCTCTTAAATTATTATATCAATGCATGCTTCTCATAAATCTGTGGATTACAATATTCCAGAATATAGTTATTATTTTGTGCTTTTAGCGGTATTGATCTAATAATCATATCTGGTAGTAATAATAATAATAACTGAATTTAATCGGCAATAAATCGCATTATAATAAATAATTGTATATTATTATACGTCTTTTCTTGCAAACAGATACGTTTGTGAGAAAATAGTATTTTCAAAATACTTAGTAATTTGGTACGTACGTTTTGTCATAGCGAATGTATTCGTACAAAAAATTTCTTGATTAATAATCTTTGGTTCGTGCTGCGAGAATGATAAATAAAAGTGTACTTATATCTACTATACCAAAAAAAAAAACTTCAACTACAGTAAAATTTGATAATCAACATTTTCCGTTGTATAACGAAATTCATTGTTTAATTTATATGTTTTTGCTTACTACATTTGTTAAGCTTTTTTTTGTTCACTACACTTAGTCTTTTAATTTGTTATTCATCGAAAATACGACAAAAATATATATATTCGTGTCTTAAAACTCGTTAATGTACGTTTATTATTTCTTAACGTTTCCTTTAAAATGATCCAAAAAGTATTATTCTTTCGTTGGCTATTTACAATAATAATAATTAATAACGCAGATGTCCGCATTAATAGTATTTATAGTCAATAAAATCCAGTTTTTATATTTTCATTTCCAATATCTAAATCGTGTAAGTGGTGGAGTAAGCGTAGCATATCAATAATTTTTAGAAAATGTTGATTTTCAATCATTCATTGATATTTTATTTTCTAATAATCCCGACCAGAGTCATTGTGGCATCATAGCGGGTGGTCTGCTGACTTCGATGCAAATAATGAATTTGGTATTGATTTTCGTCACAACATTCAAGTCTCTTTACAACCGCAACTGTTGGGTAAAAATATATATATATATATATATTTATCAAATATTCCAACGAACAATGTAATATTTTTTTCCCGAACGTAGTATTGTCCCGCGGGGGTGGTTTTTATCTCGTAGATGCGATAATAATTCACGGCATAGACCTCTGTGCGAGACGTGTTGGTTGTGTCGTACTGGATCCGCCTAAAACACAACGGCGAGCATGCATAACAATATATTGTATCTATTTGTATTTACTACTGCGAACCGTTTGTATAGTCGAGCATGGTTAATTCGAAAAATGTCATTGAATATTATAATTCAATTTTTTTGTCCGATCCTCGGACTTCTTTATTCAATAGTATGTAAATAAAATATGTATATATATATTGTTTAATTCAATGTTTTTTTAATGCTTAAAAGAACGTAGTTTAAAATGATTTATTTTGGAATAATAATCAAAATATTTAATAACGACCAAGTTTTTTTTTTAGTTAATTTTGATTTTTGGTCTGTTTTATTTATGTATTTTTTAAAACATGTATCATATTAAAATTAGCAATTATTATACATAATTTTATGAATATTAAAATATTTATGCATGTAAAAAAAAAAAAAAAAAACAAAAATTTAAATCTATGAAATATAATTTCTTTAATTATTCAAGTATAAAATATTATGTTTAATTGTAATATATATAATAGTATTAATAATTTTTAATGTGTTATTTATTTTATAAAGAAATATTATACTCTGACAATTAAAATTTCGAATTAATCAAGTTCAGCTTTACTGGTCGTTACTCGGTGTTGGGCAAAATAATTCCATGATAACAACCAACAACTCATAATTTTAAAGATACCATTTATAATTTAAAATCGACGTATGCATTGTTTGTTTTTTTTGATCAATACTTACTGAATTGATATGTGTATTATTATAATTAAATTTAATTAAATACAACTTGGGTATCAAAGTGACCAATAAGTAAAATTACTCTATAATTATTTTTGATGAGCTTAATTACAAAATATGTTTTAAATTCACAATCCTTACAGATATTTTTTTTTAACCGACGTTTATGAATTTTTTAATTTTAAATTGAATGCATCCATCAAACTTCAATCATTGACTTTCTTTTCTTCCCAACTCTGTGGTTTGTGATATTATTATTTTATCGTGTCACGCAATTCACTACACAATACTGACACGTTGTCGATATTTCTATTTTTTTTTTTTTTTTCGTCGTCGTTGTTGTGTTGTCCTCGCAATCGACGGTTTAGTTTCTCGGTTAACAATTATTATATAGGTATCTATCACTCGCGACATAGATAATCTCTGTAACAGTGGCATATTTGTGATTAATACACATTTAAATATATAAATGATTATAATTATGATATTATATCGTTACTCACAGTTTTTTCTTGTCTCTGTCTATGCATATCTAGGGTTCGTGTCGTACGACAATGCGTACAGTGCTCAGGCGGCCATACAGACGATGAACTCGTATCAGGTGGGCAACAAGAGGCTGAAAGTGCAACTCAAGAGACCCAAAGAGGCGTCCAGGCCGTATTAACCGCACCAACGATTGACTACTAACAACAGAACGACCGACCGATCGTACCTCGTTCCCTGCAAGAATGAACAGTCGTGTCGTACACCGTATTGTTATTGTTTACGATGACATAAAATTTAATAATTGTTATGTGTGTACATAATAATACTTGGTTTCTTTTACTTTTGTTTCGTTTTTGTTTTTGTTTTTGTTTCTGTTTTTTTTTTTTTTTTTTTTTTTTTTATATATATATATATTATATAAATTTGTATATCTACATGACACAGAGTAGTAGAAATATTTTTAACGCAGCATTGTTTGAGGTAAAACAATCCAAAAAAGAAATATATGAAGAACCACTGAATTACGAAAAATTGAAACATAACTTAATAAAATATTGACATTGTCGTTTGAACTAATTTATTGTATATGGGTGTGTAAGGAAAATGTCAGATTATTAATTTTGTTTTGTTTTCATGTTTTTCTTCTTCATTACTTATTGTTTTGTTTTACTATAATACGTTTTTATTTCTTTACAAAAGGACCAATTTTCTTTATTATTCTCTAGGACGCCGTTTCGAATCGTCTCTATGTACTCGTATGTATGGTTTTACACTTAACACTGAACAGTAGTAGTCTTAAATTAATTATTTTTTGATCGTTAAATGACATCTCTAGACTGCTCTTTTATTATTAATGTGTAATGTTTTTCTTTATCATTTTCGAACTAATCATGTATACCCTTGAAATTATTTTTTCGGCAATCAGGGTATTAAGAGAGTATACCCATAAAGAAATGTAATTTATTTAATAAATAATAATAATGTACTATGTACTAAAAAACATTTGAATTATGCCCAGTTATGGTTCCTGTAGTTAAATTAAAAAAAAAAAATAAATAAAAAAAAAAACATGTTTGCGTACAGTTTTGTAAAAATAAGTGGTCAAAATATATAGTATACTCATATAAGTCATATGTAATAACTACCTAATAATAATGTTTGTTTTGTTTTGTTTTTTCTTTTTAATTGCAACGACTTATAAAATTAAATTTTGTTCAGTATTAATTTTAATTTATTGTTTTTGCATGTGTTAATAATTTTATAGACTTTTTCCAATTGATGCCATTTTCAATAACTACAAAGACTTACATTTTTGTTTAGGTGATATTATGTTCTTTGTGCTTAAAAAAAAAAACAACTAAAAAACTAAAAAAAATCACGTGTTTCATGATTGTAAAGATTTGTCTTTTTTTTTTTTTGTCTTGTGTCCTGTTTGCATTTATATTATATAAAGTAATGATATTGTTGAATAAATGTTTATAAGATATCATTCATCACGACCATTAACAGGCATTATTGTGATAAGAATAGCCTAATTTTGTTTTGTTTTATTATTATTAAAAAAATTTTTTTTCCATAAATTAAAAGCATCGAAACTTAATTATATTATATATTTATTTATATACAATATATATTATTATTATAGCACTGCTACTCGTGAGCTATAGTAACTTAGTCAAAATTTATTGAATATTTTTTAAAACTAGTGTTTTGGTGCTAAAGCGATTTTTAACATGTTTTGTTTTTTTTTTTTTGCATTAGACCATATTATGTTATGTAATATTAGGTTAAGGTATCTAGCCCAAGTGAAATGGTTTTTTTTTAACTTTGTTTCAATAATTCCCCCCTCCAATTTTTAAAGACTCTTATTATATACATTTAGATAAAACACGTAATATTTTGTTTATTGATGTTCACTTATTGTTTGTGAAAGAAAAGTTTTTTTTGTGTTTCAACATATTTTTTTCCGTTCATTTTATTAAGTTATATATATATAATATATGGATACTTAATACAAATAAATTTGCATGTAATAATGCCGTACAATTAAGTCTTGTATTCATGTTTATCAGTTAATTTGTTTGTCTTCCGTAATACTTTGTATGTGTGTATAAAACAATGCGTGGCAATTGTTCTGTATCAAGTCTACCTGACAGTATATGGTTTGGTATTATGTCATCTATCGAGATTAAAATATAAAAAATTGATTGAAATTTAAACTATACAAGAAATTTGTATAAATGATAGCTATGGAGCTCGTAAAAATAAAAAAATCAGTTAGTAAATTTGTAAAATTATGGCAACTATACTTGCGGACGGTACTAACTAATCGAGATTTGCAAAAATCTTGGTTTTAGTGTAAAATTAAAAATCCATACGACTTTTTTTAAGATTTAAAGGATGACCAAAAAATCTTCACGGAAAACTCAATTGTATGTTTTTTTTTTTTTTTTACCGCTAGTGATGATTCACAGTACTTAAGTGCGACGCTGATGTAAATCGCTTACAAAATTTTAACAAGCAAGTTATAAGATCGTTCATTTATTAAGTCAAATAAAAATCTGAAATGAAGATCAAAAGTTTTATATTTTATGTATTATTTTTGTTGTTCACAGTTAAGAACTTAGCTACTCTGTTAAATATAAACTTGACTATTCATTTTCAGTGTATCAGTCATAAGCATGCATGGACTTCTGATGAAGCACTTGTGGCTATTATTTTTTTTTTACCAACTCTTATACACCTCCCCTCCATATGAAAGGATAAATATGCTTATTTAAAATATTGTAATTATTTAAACTTTAAAGAACTAATTTCTATTATTCAGCTATTATAGTTATAGATTTTCCAATAAATTCATAATTTGTTAATTTTTTAACTTTGTCTTGACAACGCTTTAGGTCGGTCGTTTACAATCACAGTTAGTGATGGTTAAAATTATAAACATTCGATAAAAAAAAAAAAAAAAAATCATTAAATGATCGTTTTTATTCAACTAATGTTACCAATGAATAAATTATTTTAGTTGATTTATCGTATGTCAATTTTTCTAAATTATTCAAGTCATTTAATAGTTAAACTAAGCTTTAAGTTTACTAATATTAGTATTATACACATTGTTTAAATGATTTATGTTATCTTAGGATTTAAATTGATTAAATTTCCAACACCTTCAATAATTTCAAGAATCTTAAGTCTTAACTATAGCAGTGGTTTTTTTTAACCAAACACCATTTCATCCAAAACAAATATTCATTGTATATCATCACTTATTCCACACTTAATTTTTTCTAACTTGGATTTTTAACATTATTTTTATTGTACATTTTTAAAATTTATTTATATATTTTTTTGTATTCATCAACTACAGCTCAATGACGTGTAATTGTAAGTTAAAAAGATCTTATTAAATCAACAAACTGCTAAGATATGAAGATCCTTACTTTTTAAATTTGAACTCACTTCTAACATAATTAATAATATTAGTTCAAGCATATTTTGGGTAAAATAAAATTAAAAGATTACATTTAAATTATCAAGTCAGTGTATTAGTTCTAACATCTAGAAACTTGGTTGAATCATAAATATCTTGAATTGCAATGATTAATACTAAATAATTTGATTTAAAACATATTTTTAGAAAAAAACGATGTATTTAATAATTAAATTTGAAATTTAAATAAAAATTTAAGCACTAAAGAGCTAAAAGTTATATGTTTATAAAATTGTGACACATAACACTCATAAAAAAAAAAATTAGATATGTAAATTGTAAAAAAATACAATTTTATCTGTTGGTACTGCTACTTTGTTGGTCAAATCTATATTGATTGCAATACAACTAATAAAAAAACTTCCTTTTTATCTAAATAAGTGTAAAAGATAAACAGAAGACCGGTTTAAAAAAAATAATATTTTTATAATAATTGTTTGATATACTTAAGTAAATCTAGAACAATTTGTGTTCATTAGATTTATAAAATTCTCTAATTACTATATCTAATAGTATAATACTATAAAACGCTAAATTATTATTAATAAATTCAATTGATTTGAGAATAAAAATGAATTGGTAGATTTATTTTTTTATGGAACAAATTTGTACGCGACGTTGCCAGCTGACGTTATTTAAATTAACCCTATAACTGTGTAACTCTAATACAAAGATTAAGACACTCAATAATTAATTTATAACTCGTAATATTGATGAACTTTTACGTATTACGTAATGATAATACATGTTTAAGTTACGATAGTTTATATATACTTTAAAAATTTATTATTGATAATAAGCCATATTTATAAAACTTCAACAGAGCCACGGTATAATAATTGTATAAATATAGACAAATGTTTGAAATATTGTATATTATCACATTGTTCTGTAAATGCTATCTCGTCACTTTTCTTCGTGATCATGCTTCCAAATAGTATTTACGTGAAAAAACTAGTGTATAGTCTTTTCAGTGAATACTTAAAAAAAAAAGTCTAGGTGTGGCTATAGCCCTACAAGCCACACCCGTATGCACGCCTATGGATGGGTCATGATATTTATTATAGTGCTTTTAAAATTATTTATGACCATGAGAATATATTTGAAATTTGACATGGGTTTAATCCATCGTCTAATAAAAAAAAAAAAAAAAATAATGATAAAATAATTTAGTTGATTGATTAAGTAAAATCCGGGAAAAATTGTCCTGGTTTTATTTTGAATGTTCTGAATTAACAGTTATATTGCAAACCGCTGTAAAAAAAAAATCAACTTGGTTTACAAATCCTGTTATTTATAAGATAAACACTTCAAAATGTATCGCACAAGGATATTACAATATTGAATGTATGCATATGTATAGGTAAGTACCGGAGACTCGAGTCCTAAAGTCTGAGAGACGTTGGAAATTTATATTTGTTTTTGTGTAAATATCAATGCTTTTTGAGCGAAACGTGTAATACTACCTATATTATATATAAAAAGTGATGGTTATTTAATTTTGTTTACAATAATCTTCACTATTATTTGTGTATTCTTTAGCTGCCATGGTAATTTATTCGAGAAAACTATTTTACGTACCGTAACGCGATTTCTTGAAACTATTACGGCTATACATTTTTGGGGAATGACTGTGTAATAAACGTTTACACGTCATAAAAAATAATCTAGGCACATTGATAATATTATTGATACTTGTACTTCAACAATTTCACCCGGAAATAAACAAACCGTAAATTAAAAGTGAACTGTGATAACGAGTTCGTGCCAGTCGATAACAATTAAATAACAATAGTTACTTAAACATAAAATAAAACAAAATTATGAACAACGAAACATGTATTCTAGCGCAACAATAGCTCACCGCATCTGTTTTCCAATGTTTACCCTGCACCGCATATCGGATTTGATAGAATGAGATAAATTTGACGTCGTATCACTTATTTTTGAGCTATAGGTGGGAGGTACCCATTTGGACGTTTATTGGATTAATAAAAAAAAATTTGTATTTGTAAAAGTAAAAAAAAAAAATTTAATATAATAAACCAAATTATGTATTCGCATATTAAGTGGGTAGACGATTTCTTATTGTCTACTACAACTCTTCGACCTCTGATAAGTAATGTAATATTGAACACTATTGAATACAGCCGTGTTGCCCTTAATTCAATAAATGAGGTTTTATCTTCTTATTATTATTTTTATCGAGCATCAATATTGAAGGCATTCAATTATTATTATTCTCGTGCGCAATACATAAAAATTTAAAATTTAAATATTAAGACTTTTACATTAGTATTCAGGTTAAAAGATATTTTCAAAAGTTATTTACAATATTAATTTTGGTTAGAAAAACTAAGATTTATGTTCTGTATGGTCTTCAATGAAAGCTTTTTCTCGCGGTTGTTTAGCATCGATAACATATTTCGTGTATGTTCTGAAATTCTGGGCATTCTTGAATGACAATAATACGTTGAATGGTTAAGTCAACTAAGCATTTATTGCATATGTATGCTGGGTTTTTGCGCACAAGGAATGCGTGAGATAAAAAGATATGTCCTATTTTTACTCTTGTTAAAATTATCTACTTAACTTCTGTCGTCTTCTGAAATGTTAAGGAATGTGCCCTTTTTGTATTATATTTTTCGTCGAGTTTTAGATGATCATTATCAATGTTCGCAAAGGCGATTATTTCACCAATCTACGATTCACAGTGACAGGTAGGTTACGTCCAAAAAGTGTAATCGATCGTCTGTCGTGTGGGTCATGGAAGGCACCTCTACCCACATGACTACATATAAACAAAATGCTCATTCCTCGTCGATTACATGAACGTGTTCAGTAACTGTTCTTGAGAGTGTATACATTTGAAAATTCAAACATTAACTATAAACTATGATGTTATAAAGAGTTGTACAATTTTAAAAATTCAAATGGGGGAACCTATACTTTTTTCTAAAATAAATCAACACATAAAAATTAAAATTTGGATGAGTAGCCTATGAGCAATAAGTATTAAAAGTTTTAGTGAGTGGAGTGAAGTGGTTCAGATATTTCACGCAAGACTTTGATTTACTACTTCGTTCAAAAAGTACTCATCCAAATTTTGATTTTTATGTATTTCAATACTCAGAAAAAATTTCTCAACATAACGATTGCAAAAAAGTATAGGTTTAAGTTTCTAAAGTTAATCCTTAAAATCATCATTAAAATATCGTAAAAAAAATATAAACGTTACTAATAATTTAGATATTTTTAATATAAAAAAATTTTCATATTAAAACATGTAAATATAAAATATTAATAATTGATTTTGCACAACCTGTTAATGGTCATTAATCATAATGTCTCTCACGCATTAAAAATAATGACCTAACTGCTGCTAATAGAAAACAGCATACACGTTTAAAACCAATAACGAGGGTTTCGATCAAATTGTAAGACTTCTAGTTTAAGAAAAATTAATCAAAGATACATTTATACATTTGAAGAAAATTTCAAGGCGTGTTTTGAATATTTTGATAGGTATTATTTTTAATTTCAAAGCGAACTATAAGATTTTTTAAGATTTTAATATTTTACTCGGTTATAACAATTTAAAACTACCAATAATGTAAAGTCATTACTCATTAGTCATAAATTCATAAAGCAAATTGACATATTATGACAATAGACACAAATTATAAAAAATAACATTGATGATAATGACTATTTAACCTTTAAAAGATATATTGTACCTACATTATTGACTATAAAAAATACTTGTATTTATTTAATCAATGAAATAAACTTATACTATTTCAAATCGTATTTTGATAAGTACCTACCTATTTCAGACAATAAGCCACGATAACTTATCATTGCTACTTCAATCCTGTCCAATGAGCTTATTTATAATTTTAAGAAAATTTAAGTCACATATTTTATTTAACATAATATTAAGGGGGACGCATTTTTATAATTCACAACACACCATTTTGAGTTTAGTAATCTTATCCTGTAGGTCATTGCAATATTAAAGGTTTTGCAGACTCGCATGAAATAAATTATCCCAATTATATTTTTATCATGGAATATACCTATAAATATAATATTATGATATTTTATTACCCGTTGGTCCTGTTTACCTATTATAATATCGGATATCAGATCAGCGCTACAATTTGTGAGAAATCCTAATAGGGTAAATCTATTTTAAATCCGTCTATGACTATATTTTGTAGACAGTCCACCGAAAAAAAGCATGATCGGCGTTTCGCGATATTTAAGACAATATCATGAAGATGGACAGGGTTACACGTACACTGGTGCACCGTAGGTCATAAACGTGCAGTGACATTATTGACTAGAAATCAGTGATAATATAAGTATCAAGTATTACTTTACTACTTTATTTTAATTCTTATATGTACTAATTGTATATTCTATCAACTATTTAATTGGATAAAGGGATGAGTGTGAGGGGCTAACCACTTTTTATTGACTTAACTTTAATTATATAAGAAGAATAATGACCGCATATCACAATCACTTAAGTATATTATATATATAAAAAAAAAAACTTAAAATGTAATTGAAATATTTACGATTATTACGAATTATAATTAAGTGCTACGCAATAATATAGAACTCAGTATTCACGCTCTTAAAGTATGCCTGCAATTATATATTTTATAATATGAAAGGTACCTAAATAACATGTACATTATAATTTATACAAATTTTATTTATTTTTAAACCAAACATTGTTATTGGTTAATTCACTGTGTGGAGTACAATATTAATACACATAGGCATAGTACTTATTGTGTACAATAATTTTGTAGGCACCTACTGCCTTTCTCAAAAAAATTGTTCGTATGGTACATATAGGGGGATGTGCATTGTTTTAGCAGAAAATTAAATTTCGTTTCCATCAATCTCTTCAAAAATCATCGTTTAAAATTTGAAAAACACTAGTCATAGTTCTAACTTCTAATTAACCTGGGTAAGTAGGACAATTTTACATTGGTGCGTATTTTTCGATGACAACGAGTTTTATAATGTATACTTTTCAAACGCAATATTTAACTATTAACATGAAATACTAATGATCTTATTAAATGGAGTTGAATTTAATATTACATACAAATCAACAAAATAAATATTTCCTCATATCATTGTTTTGTCAAAACTTATGTACCACAACTATTCGTATTGATGACGATATAATGTTTTAGTTAGTCAAATTTAGGAATTTTTTCTACGTATTTGGTAAGTTAGTGTTTAGCTTTTATTTCCAATGCAAAATGTCTTCTATTACAATTCTAGTCCTAAAAATCGTTAACCATATTATTATTATTGGTGGCGTTCCACTCAGAAGCCGTCCGAAAACCTTCACGTAGATGTATCAAAATTGCCTATACACTGCGCCGACTAACGTTTATAAATAAAATTATATTACTTGTGGGAAAAGGGTATATATAAAAATAACAACAAAATAATACTTTAAACAGAATGATTTATTATAGCTGTCGGAATACGTGATTTAAACCAATAGATTTTGTAGAGATTTCCTTTTTAGTCAACCTTATATATTTTTTCATTATAATTATTATTTAAATATGAAATGTTCAATGCTTATCGCAAATCACAATAAATACTAGATACTTCACCATAATACACGAAGAAATTTTATAATTAAACAAAAACATTGATGTAATAAAAAATGTCGTTATTTTTTCAATATATTTTAAATATCTACTGAAAAATATAAATAAATAATAACAATATTAGAGTCAAACTTTTCACGACAAGAAAAAATGATTACATATCGATGAAACCATGAAAACGAATTTGTTTATACACATGTAAGCTAATATTCTTAATTTTATGTTTAAAATTATAGTTTGTAATTCGTTTTTGTTTGATGAACATAATTTTGAGTTATTCAACATATACGTGATCCCGAACACAAACGTCTTTCAATATAATATACCTATCATATAAATATATATTTTTTTAAATACTTCAAAATAAAATATCAATTATTCACTAACACGTTTGCAATGGACAATGATAATAACAGCTCATTATACTATCAAAATCGCTGTGGTTCTGGCCGACTGATTTTCCGAACCGAGCAAGGACACGATTGTCGAGTACGTCGAAACGACATTTGGGAATCAAACGAACACGATTTGAACTGCAGAGAGTATGTTAACCAAACCTATGATATACATAATGATGTTAAATTTTAAGAATTTAATTTTTTAATATTTTTAATATATAATATTGATAATAATTTAGAAACGAAACGCATACGCGTAAGTTTGATAAAAACCTTAGAAAAATTTTCCGAATTTGAAAAAATATCCAATTTAACATAATACTATACCCTACACCGTTAATAATCACTATAATTAATATGCATTCTAGTAGAGTTTTTTTGCTTAAAAATTCCAAACGAGAACTCTTTTTTTAAGCAAGATTAGGCGTGAATGCGTTTTATACTCAAAATTGCTGCACAATATTAATATAAACTGTTGATGTCATGCCAAGAATATTATTTGAAGGGTGATTTACCCGAAAATAATCGTTCAGTGGGAATGCGGCTACGTAGGGTTCGGGGTGTGACAACCCTTTCGTTTCTCACCCAAACTTTTACAATCCTGGGTCCTTAATCACACCAAATTGAAAATAATCAAATATTTTACTTTATATAATAATATTATACCCAATGCTTGAATTCTAGAAAATTGAATGGGAATGCTAAAGTGTAAAAAAAAAAACGCACGTACGCACGTATATGTTTCATTACAATATTTAGCCAGACAGCGAATAATTTTTTTTTTTTTTAAGAAGAAAGAGTTTGACCTCTTTTCCTTTGATTTCTTTTATTCAAAAACTATAAGTATACTACGCGTTTCGCTGCTTATCACTTGCATTTAGGATGTTTCACGTGAACAAAATACAAATTTTCTTGTGGATCTGTCATCCACAGGAACACTGAAATGCCGAGTCGCTTAGATACGAATATTGAACATCCTCGCAGTGTCGGTGCTTGTGGTGATTCAGACCAAGCACCCGATTTGCGTCCCTCTCTGTCAGAGCCCAACAAAGTGCTGCTCGTGCATGGTCTGGATCGCGTTCCCGTTAACTGCGATCGGGTGTTCAACCTGTTTTGCCTGTATGGAAACGTGACGACGGTGAAAATCCTCAAGGACGACAAGGTGCTCGTTGAGCTGGAGGACGTGGAAGCCGCTAGACGGTGCGTGTCTAACTTGCACATGCTTCAGCTGGACGATGAGGTCAACATGAAAGTCAAGTGAGTTGCGATAATGTCCTCATTTCTGTGCGCGGCCATTGACAACTATATGCTCGTGAAATACTGGGTCGGGATAATTAATAATTTTGATGGATTATAATGTATAAAAAAAAAAAAAAAAAAAATACGAGACCGCTCAATTGTTATGCACTTATTATTATTCATAAATCATATTATTATTACTATTATTATTATCATGGTAGCAAAACGCGATTATGTTGTATAGTGCATAATATATATTATACGGTGGTAGTTGAACGAGTTATAAAAGTATTATGTGGTTAGGTACAATTAAATTTTATAACAAGGTCATCTTATGTATTCTATGTATAAAGATAAATTAAATTATGCATTAGTTGCTCTTATCAATAGAATGTTGTCGTCCAATGCTAATGATGCACCAATTATTTTTTCAAATTGTTTCTATTTGATTTTTATTTGTTATTCATTATAATTGAATGTCGTCAATCATCTAAACCAAATGTAAAATTGTTTTACATTCATAGTTCTTATGTAAACAATTAATAATTGCATGCAATTTAGTTTTAACCCGTAAATATACAAATAATATAATATATATAATAATAACAATACACTTCCATTGCGTTCATTTTGCAGCGCCGTCTTTCGTTCCAAGCTTCTAATAACTGTATCATTATTATTATCATCTAACCAAAATTATATTCAGTATCACTTATGTCGATCGTATTTAGCTAGAATAGGCGGAGCGGTGTGCATGACTAACGACGGTCCATTGAAACACCTCGTCGCCATGATTGCCAAGTCATTATACTTAACTACATTTACCTTTGCATACTGATATACTAAAATAGCATTATTATGCGTCTTTTATAACTATATAAGTTCATCATCGATCGACTGTTTTTGATTTACTAATTATTCGTGCGTTTTAGGTATTCTAAACATAATTTTATTCATGATCAAGTCAATTTTAACAAATTAGCTGACGGTACGCCTGCTCAAAAAGTTTACTTGTCGAGCACATTGAATAGATTCGCTCCGAACGTATCGTGCCCGGACAAACGTCGTATCGCAGCTCCGTCCAAAGTAAGCGAACTTCAATTTAGTTTCATTTGAAACATGTAAGGAGCAAAATATTATATAATTGTAAAGTTGATTTCTATAGAAATAAATAAGTTACAATTTCAACAGCAAATGAATAATTATTTTAAAACATTCAATGTTTTAATAAATTACTTATTATACTATTCTAATGAAATTAGATATCTACAAAATATAATAGCTTTTTTCAGATACTGAATAATTGATGTAAGAAATCATTGTTTTCCCGAATAAAAATATCTCGATTAATTAATTACATTCTTGAGTTGTAATATATTGTTGTTTCTTATATAGCGCTTTTCGTTTTCAGATTTTACATTTTTTCAACGCGCCAACTGACGTGTGCGGCATAGCAATTCACAAAGCAATATCAGACGCCCTGTGTCGTACGGACGCAATACGTTCCATTACTATCCGTACGGTTTATTATTGGGTTTAAACGTTTTGCACCACTGACTTGTTGCTTTTTATATTGTTTTCAGTTCCCAAAAAACCGAAAGCCAAGTGTTCAACGGGTTTGATAGAATTGAAAAGTATGGCGCTGGCGGCGAGGACCGTTTTATTGTCAAATCATATGACAATTGAGTCGACAGGTAAATAAATACGTAAAAATGCCGTATACGATTGGTAATATGTTATCAGTACTGTATTGTCAATACAGTCATGAAATAAAACGATCTATAGACATCCATTGGACGTATTAAATCGTATATTAATATTGTTTACGTCGCAAGCGGTGTAAAAACAATAGTGGATGTTATAGTGGAGTTCAAGTTTTACCGGTAGAGCAGAGTAGGTTAAGTACCTATCAGTAATTTAGTAATTTCATGTTGCGTCATCTATAACTATAAGTTTGGTTTTTCCGCGGCTCTTTTCGTTACAACTTTCCAATCACCATCGTCGTAGTAACGGATAAAACGTATCCGTAGTCACTAGTCACTATAGACGCAGGACGTGCGTTTCCGGCCTCGTCCAATGAGCCATGTCGTGTACTACTCGCACTTGAATTTAATACAATTACTAATTTTGTCCTTCCGCAAATACCGTTTGCAGTGTCCAGATTTCCGTTTTTGACAAAACTGTGTTTTTCAAAATGGTCTGAAATCGAACAGAAACCCGGCGACCCGAAGACGTTGCGGTTCTGTTCGGTGCCACGCACACCGTGGCTGCTGCACAAGTCCGAACACGGTGTGCCCACGACGGAGTTTCCGATTTCTTGTACGACCATGGTAAACGGCTGCGGCGGCGGCGACTGTATGTGGACGTTGTGGGTGGTAAACAACATGCAGAAGCAATGGCAGCAGCAGCAACAGACGTCGTCGACGGTCTCGATGACGGACGCCGCGACCGACTGTTCTCGGACTTGTCCGTCAGACACGATGGTCCGTCGTAACACGATTGCTGCCAACGACACCGATTTGTTCATCGATCTCATCGACATGTTGAGGAACCGCCTGTGCAATATCAGGAACGACCGGGGCGACGTGTTGTGCGGTTTAGCGGCGGCGGCGATGCAAGCCGAACGCGACGACGCGACACCCCCCGCCGACGCCGATGCCGCGAGTCAATCGGGCCCGCTGGGTGACGCGTGACCTATTGTTCAACATAATTTTTTTTTTTAGCTACCTTTTATGTTTTTTCCTTCTGATATTTATCTGGAGAAGGATTCGATCGTCCCATAACCACCGTCCGTCCCGGGCACGCCCATAAAAATGTCACGCTACAACAGACTGATTTTGTAATATAATAATAATAATAATAATATAATGCAATGATATTTAGTTGTATTTTGTTCGTGAAAAATCTATTGGCACCGGTAATCTAGTTTTTCGGCTGTAGCCGGAAAATTATCGTTTACTGTCGAAAATTACGTGTTCGATAGACTGTCGGGTGTATGGTCATAGTGTTTTCGGACTCGCGACGAGATGGGTCTTAGTAAATTACAACTACATTACTGACCGTTTTAAAAAAATACGATTTATTTATATTAACGGAAAATCGGATTGTACAAATTGACTTTTTTTCGCTTTTTAACGATGAATGTGGTATCTGCGAGAAAAAACAGCATACCACCACCCTATTGGCCAGACGTATAAGTCATCAAACCGGTCACTCGTTTCAAACCCAATCCGTTTGTTGTCAACTTTTCGATTTTATCGTTAAATAAAAGTATTTGTTAAAATAATAAATTTACAATGAATATTATGTTTTAACTTCTATTCATAGAACATCGAAAGTAGAATACAAATTTGTTTTACACTTTTGTGTTATGTGCATATTAAAACGTTAATAATATACTTTTTAATGATTTAATTTTCAGGTATTGGTATATTTTACGATCTGTAAAAAGAAATAATAATTAAAGAGGACTTATTTTAACATTTGTATTTGTCTAAAATGAAGACAAAATAAATATTCTAATTATTACAGTCATATTATTATTGTTATAATGCAAAAATAATATTACACGAATGTATTTCGACAGTATTTGTGGCGCTATCGAGTGGTTTCATACTCGACATTTGTTTTGGCACTTGTCACGTTTTTTCCGCTAGAACTCGCTCTACGAATAATTATAAAATGGTTTTGATTTTAACATTTATTATAAGAATTTATGATAATTATATTTATTTAATGATTGTTGATGTATTATAATATTTGAGGAGGTAAACTAATGCATTCTATGCTAAAAATGTGCGTAATAATCCAATAATAATTATTTTTATTATAGTATAATATTTTCTAAGTCGCCGAAAAAAGGAGAAAAGTAAGGACCTTCATTAAAACAATAAATTAATTTTGGAATTAAAAAAGAAAAAAAAACATAAATAAAAATAAAAATATTAATAAATTAATGTAATAATTTATTAAATGAGATAAAACATTTATGAATGTTCTTCTTATGTATCAAGAGATGTAAGCACAAATATTACAAAATCTTTTTATTGAAAATGTTGTTTATGGATTTTTTTTTTTAACAATGAGAGATAATTTGTTTTTAGTTTAGTTTGATATTATTTTTTAGATAATCCATATCTGAATTAATGTATGGAATTAAATTAAATAATATACATTTATACGTTTTTTTTTTAAAAAAATTCAAAACGTTCAAGACGTGCATATAGAAATTATAAAAAAAAATTGTTAAACTTTTTACTGAAGAAGAAAAAGTTAAGCAAACCAAACTACCAGAGTTTGTATTTTTTTTTTTTTTTTTGTCAATGAAAGCGAATATGCATATACGATAGTGAATACCATTCAAAAGTTTGTTAATACGTTTTTCCTTTTATAGATCAAGGAATTTGCGGGAAAAAGTGTTGTTGTTATTATATTTTAGGTATTAAATTCAAACTCGGTTATGCAGAGTTAAGTCAAGCTGGACCAATGAGAATTTTCTTCAGACATGTTTCGGGATTATCGTACAAAAAGAAATCCTTATTTGAAATATTAATCTTGAATGTTTCTGAATTCTAGTTCATGGTAAATACATATCTACGTAGTTCATAGTTGGATACAAAAAATCATAAAAATGGAAACGTCAATCAATAAACATGATTGTTTTTAAATTTGTTTAGAATAGGTTACGTTATAGACTTCATTAAAATTCAGTGTTAAATTATTATTCTTTTAAAATATTTTAGATTTATCGTTGACAATTTGAAACATTTTTATGGACACGTGGTCTGTATGAATAAATCGTTACTTTAGATTAACTTAAAACAAACTATTTACTTATGCCCGTTTGTCATACGACTTAAAAGTATTCAAAGTTACTATTTCAATCGCAATACTGTAATGAACACTTGATTTTCACGAGTTATACCATCTGATATTATGATTAATAAATGCTTGGACTTACAATAATATATTTTAATTTTGTGACAGATGGGTTCGTATTTCGTCTATGATTTCACGCTGAACATCAATCGAATATAATAATAAAATTAAACTAATACTAACACAAAAAATAATGAACAACATTACCTAGTTCAAATTTAAGTAGTTTTTGCAAAGTGTACAGAATAATATAGCACGCAAACCTAGTAATGTGTATATGTATACAATATTATATATTAAATTATTATTTTAAAATGTCGTTTAATAATACCTAAAGGCTGAAATAACGCGACTACGTCAGAGACGAGACCATATTATATTATGTAGCTATTATGTTTGAATAATGACTGCACCGCAGTTTGTATTGCAATCCTTCAGTGAATTCTTTGAAACTTCATAAACCTTATTATAGTCTAACTACGGTACATAATATATTCAATACCATACAAGTATTTAGTAAAACGAATCAGTCAACTTGACGTAATAATTTAAACATAAAAGGTATTTATTTCTAAGTTCGACTTCTTACATTATTACATTGGACAGATTTATTGTAATTAACGTTTAATATCGAATCGTGCTAAAATCAGACACACCCGATTTTTATCGATTCTTTAAATTCATAAATATTTTAAGTTTTGCTTCACTTAAAAACTCTTCATCCAATTTATTCAGTTAAAATGATTAATAATTAATCTCAATTAGTGGGTATTTTAATCACGGAAACATTGTAATAAAAATTTAATTAAAACCGTAAACCAATCCAAAATGGTGTCATTTTTTATTCACATATTCTTTCCGCGATAAGGTTATTAGACTGTTACGATCATATTACATTATTGGAGGTATTGTTAAAATACTAAATAAAATTAATCGGTGTAGATTAGTTATACGATTGAAAGGTGTATTGACCGCTTTTGTCGAAAATACAATCATTTCTGAGTTTCTGTAAGTCTATGACATTTGTGCCTTAATTCGATATATTGTCAGTATTAAAAAAATATATCTTCGACCCTGACGAGTGTATCGCATGCTGGGCACGGAGATTGATTGTTGATCGTTCTTGACTATGATGATGTCATGTCCGAATGTGATTCAAATATGGTTGATTGTTGATTATAAACTCGTTATTTCTGGATATTATGAATTGTTTATAATATTTACGAATTACGGCTATATTTTAATAACGATGTTATCGAAGCATTAAATGTGAAATGTCAATATGATAAATTTAAAAACGAATAATAATTTTATTTATCGATAAAATATGTTTGGAGCCTATGAAACAGTCAACCAGCCCGAAGTCTTGCCGGACGATCGCATCGTTATGCGTTATTCATTTATTAAATTGGCATTTTTTTTATTTTTTTTTTATTTAGTTCCGTCGGTCTGGCCGATTTGACGTATACGTAATTCTAGGCGACAGTAGAATGAATTGTTTTTTTTATATGAAACAAAAATACAATTAAATTTAGATGCAATAATTAATGAATCACCAATCATATTTCTGCTATAATATAATATATGGTACATCATTATTGATGCCCACTATTGTTTTTTTTGAGTTTAAATAGTATTATATCAATAATTGCATTAACATGATATTATTATAATAATATGTGTTAAAATTATGAATAAGTATACAATTGTTTGATAAAAATAATTAATTCAGATAAAAAAAAAAAAAAATTGTAATCTTTATTTCTGCTCAAAGATCAACATTCAATAGCAATGAATAATGATGCATAAGATATTTAGGTAATAATATTTATTTATTAGATATTTATTCAAATTTTTATTTAAAATTATGACAATATTTTAGCACTTTTTATTCAAAATAGTATTCAAACGTTTAAAAAAGTAATACAAGTATATACATACTTTATACATAAAGAGTTTTTGTCTATACTATAAGACTTATATCCATTTTAATGTATTACTTTTATATACATAAAACTAGAAAATTAGCTTGAATGTGATAGGTTTAGAGTAAATCTTAAATGTGTTGTTTGAATTCGACAATAAATGTATTAATGAATTTATTTATTTATTAAATGCCCCGAAGGCAAATAGTACAATACATAGGTACACAGAGTTTTAAGTAAAATAAAATTAAAATACTAATACTAATAGTAATATAACAATATATAAACCAATTATATATAATCGATTTAAAATAATTAACATAATAGTAAAATAAATCAATTTTTTTAATTTTATTACAACACATTATCATTCTATTAATAAGGCCAAAATGGCTATAATTTTGACGGTGGTTGGAAAAATGAAAATTATTTTCGAAGCTTAAAGTTGAAGCATTGAAGTGTATACCTCCTAATAATTCTAAGCGATCAATGCTATTATTAATAAGCTTATAGATAAAACAAATGTTAAAATATTTTCTTCTTATTGATAAAGGATCAATTCCTAATTTTAAATTAAATAAAGAATTTGTGATAGCTAATAGTTATTAAATTTATAATAAAGTTTGCGAAAAAAGTTATTCTGGACTCAGCCAATTTTATTAATTAATTAAGATAAAGATTCCCATATAATTGATCCATGCTCTAAACTTTGACAACTCTTTTTTACACTCTTTAAGGCTTAGTAAGTAGTGCTTTCCATCAAGCTGGATCATCACGAGCATTTTTACACACGAACCCTAGCATTGCTGTATAATATATTTTATTAATATTTTTAGTAGAAAAAAGATCATTTAAAAGAGTTATTCCTAGATCTTTAGCATGATTTACTATATTCTAAATTTTTCTATTTATCTTGTTAATATTATATATTGGACGTTTGCTACGTGAAAATTTAATTTGAAAATATGT